TTTAGCTGCGGTCGCCACGGTGGTGTTGGGTCGACAATGACGGTGGGTTGCTCGGTGGTTAGCTCGGCGGATGGGTCTGCGCGAGGCCTTTTGCCAGCCCGGCGGGCTTCTTGTCTGGGTTGCCCGGCACCTGGAGTTGCCAAGGCGACCATGGGGCCACTTGATTGTCTGGCAGCTTGAGAGTGGGTGGTGATGCTCGGTATCTCGGCTGAGGTTGCTGTGAGAAGGTTCTTGATGTGGCTTCGTTTTGCCATCTCTTGTTCTTCAGTTAGCCGGATTAGCGGCACGTCCGGTAGAGTTGGGTCCGGAGGAGGTGTTGGAGCATGGAGAAAGTCTGTAACTTTGCTCCGGCATGGAGCTGAGTATCTGTAGGTTGGAGTGTAGCCGAGAAACTCGTTACAATCCCGGTGGCTGTAACGGAGCACGGTCCGGATGGCTTCTACGTTGGGATATTGGTAGTTGGATTGCAAGGCTTGAATTGCTGCAAACGAAACAGGAAAAATGGTTAAGTACAAAATGTTGAAGGCAGAAAATTAACCGAGCAAATAGCGCAGCTTACATGTGGAACCAAAGTTCTTGCTGATGAACCAAGCCAGTACATCAGCTGTTTCATAGTTGCCAGAAACCCAGAAGAAGTCGTCATCACGTAAGTCCTTGTCCGGGGTGCCGGTCACTATTTTCTCTTTGCCCGGTCTTATTTTTAAATAATAGGCCAAGCCGTCGCCGGTGTGCCCAAGGGTGTATTGTCGTAGTATCTCGGCTAGACCTAAGTTTGTTCCTAGCCGGTTGTTTAGCTCGTGCACACCGTTGATTATTCGGTAAGTATTGGTCGAGACTTGGGTGGGAGCTAGCCGGTGCGGCGCAGGAATTCGGTCATCAAAGGGTTGACCGGGAAGCGGAGGCCTCCTTCAACTATTGACAGCACGGTGAAGGGACATTGGTCAAGCCTACCCCAGGGGGTTGTTTCCATCTCGGCGAGCTCTAAATGGACGTCTGCTGGGATACCGTACTCTTCCCTGAAGGCCGCCAAGGCAGCAGGTGTGTCCACAAGGAAGCAAAATTTCCCCATGTGTAGCCGACTAATTTAGCTCGGTTGGGGCGGTTTGGCACGGGCTGGGAATTAATGGCTGCTCGGTCCTTGAGAGCCTTGGAATTGGTCTTTGGTCCCCTTGGACTCTGCAGGAAAATGAAGGGTAATTGTAAGTGGGAGTGTGGTCGCGCAAAACGAGCTAGACTTGAGCTCGGTCATAAATTGTGCCAAACCACCTCGGTCGTAAAGTCTAGCCAAGGAGCTCGGTCGCTCGACCGAACCAGAGATTAGCCCGGTCGAGCGGCCAAGTCCTTTTTGCTACCCCGGTTTCTACTAAGGTTAGGACAAACAAAAGATTTGCTCGGTCTGAATGATTTTTGGGATCGGATGAAGATCTGGAGCTCGGTCCGCCCTAGATCTTCATTGTTCATCAGGGAAATTGAAGAACAGCGAAGAAACTAAGGGGCATTGAAGGTTTTGGGTGGGGGAGGCCCTAAAATCTACGGATTTAGTGCCCTGATATGTGAAAATACCAACTGAAATAACAAAAACGAGGCTCGAAGAACTTACCAGGAGAGGGCAAAGTCTTCTTTTTCGAAGACGAACTCAGCAATGGCAAGCAAGCGAAGGAAGAAGCTCTGGATCGACAAGGAGGAGAGAGAGTCAGTAAGGTTAGAATGAAGGAAGGTTCAACATGTTTATAGAGATGAAGAAGACCGTCAAAAATTTGAATCTGAACGGACGTGATGTTTGGCTGCTCGAGGCCAATCAACCCATGACACGCGTCCCTATTGTCGGCGGCGTCAGTACTGAAGAGACAGGATGGTGAATCGAGGCATCGACCGGGCAAGTTTTGAAGACAGGCATGTCAAGTAGCTTGGTCACCGTATTGCAAACCAAGGACCGAGGAAGTGTTACCCCGGTCAGAATTCGTAATCCCAGTCACGTTTGCACGGACGGAATTAAGGGGCAATTGAGAGGGAGAATTATGAGCCGGATATGGGCCGAGTTAGAGGCCGAGCGAATTGGAAGCCCAATGGTGCATTAGGCTGCGATAACTTTGGATTTGCCCAGAGTTGGGGTTGCTTAGAGATAGACCCAGCTACTTGGATCTGCACAGGTGATAACCGTGCAACTTGCATTGCTCGGTTAAAGGCAGGCACCGTTAGCCCGACCGAGAAGCTTGTGCTAGAAGCCCGGTTGGAAGGCCTTTGGTTGATCGGTACGACCAATCTCAAGGTCGGCTTTGCCGGAATACTGTCGAGCATGGCTGAAAAGGATCTCAGTTCTTGGAGCAATTGGGCATGGAACGCAGCATGGCCGATGACAGCCGAGAAGATTCAGCCCGGCTGTCGAGCTCCCAATAGAGTGGGCTAGCAGTCGGGTTAGGTGATGTTCAGCAAGATTTGTGCTGACAGAATGGGATAGCAGAACCACGTGTCGAGAGATCACTGGGAGTAGATTTGGGGTGCAGAAGGTATATAAGCAAGTCTACTCTCCCCATGTTGGACAGATGACAATTTGGTGAGAAAAACACTAAACATTCTCTCCTCTCTCTCTCTCTCTCTCTATCCCAGTATGTGTGTCTAACTTGATCGTCGGAGGGGTTTTCTGGCCACACACCGCCGGGTAGCTCACTGCTGATTGTGCACGCAGGTGATTGGATAGAAACGGAGATTGGAAGAAAGGAGTGCGGGTTTGCCTGAATATTTGCTCCCCGCACAGGCCTAATTATATATATATATATATATATGTGTGTGTGTGTGTGTGTGTGTGTGTGTGTGTGTGTATAACATAGAGAAAGAGAGGCGGAAAGGTCGGGTGGCGGAGGAGATCGCGGAGGAAGGCAGCGAAGGAAATCGGCATGACGGCAGAGGAGGGCGGTGGAGGAGCGGCGTTGTGAGATCGGCACTGTGAGATCGACTCTTCTCTCTCTCTCCTCATTTTTCTCACGCGAAATGAAGCCGTGTATGAGGGGAGAGAGGATCTGAGATGGGAGAGAGAGAGATCTGAAATGGGGGAGATGAGAGGTGTGTTCTGGTTTTCGGATTGTGAGATGAGTTCTGAGATAATAGAGAAAGAGAGAGAGAGAGAGAGAGAGAGAGAGGAGTATTTATTATATGAGTACAGATATAATATTATATTATATTAGGTTTATTATTATTTATGTTGAGTATAAAAAGTAGTTGGTTTTGTCCCTTCTAGTCAACACAGAGTATAGATGTAATATAATATTATATTATATTATATTCGGTGATTGTATTATATTAGATTTGAAATGAGAGAGGGAGAGGGAGGCGGGGAGAAACAACGGGGAACGGGGCCGGGGTCGGGCCGGGGCCGGGGCCGAACCACTTATCACCGTCCCCGGCCCGAAAATGAGCGGGGATTTTTTTTTTAATACCATCCCCGGCCCGTCGGGGGTATTTTTCGGGGAAACACCGTGTTAATCGGGGTCGGAGAGTCGAGTCCCCATCGGGCCGGGTTTAAATTGCCATCTCTACTACTGATATTCACATGGTATTAGACAATGAATAGCTGTGTTATGAATTTTTACAAAATGAAACCACATGTGGGGTTCACTATGCATGGGATCCACTATTTGTCTATCTCACATGTGCGTCTTGTGAAAATTATTTGTGCACTTAAATTTACGTAATAAAGAACTAGCCTATCACCCGTGCTATGCACAGGATAATTATACATATTTATGTTTATTTTAGATTTTTTTTTAATATATAAATTATGTTTTTTAAAGATTTTTTATAAAAATAATTTAACAATCTTATCACTAATCATAGTGTATGAGAGAAGTTAAAAAGGGTACTACAGTAACTATACATGGATTGTATCTATAATTATTTATTTGAGGGGATTTTAAATGCTGATCAGGAAATTTTGACAAAATCAATAAATGCAGGCATGTGGAAAGACATATGGATTGAAAAAAGTTAACAAAATGCTGATCAGGAAATTTTGACCAAATCAATAAATGCTGAGTTTTTTTTTAAATAAAAAATTTAGAAAATTCAAATTGGGATATTGAAACTCCCACAAGCCTTGGGGGTTAAAAGCCCCCTTTTTAAATGTCTTCTTTTTTTCCTTTTTTGTATTATATTAAAATTTAATATTTTGATAATAATCATATATGTTGGACTCTTTAAGAAATTAAATGTCCTTTTTTTTTATTATATTATATTAAAGTTTAATATTTTGATAATAATCATATGTGTTGGATTTTTCAAGAAATTTTTTTTATATTTATTCTTAATGCATTAAAGTGTTATTATGAGGGATAATAATCATATGTGTTGTGACTTTTCAAAGAATTCATATGTGTTGGATTTGAAAGAATTTTCTTTATGCTTGTTCTTAATGCATTAAAGTGTTATTATGATGGTAAGACTTGAGAGTTAGGAGAAATTAATAAATACTAAAATTTATTTATTTTTTAAATCAAAAAATCAAAAAATTTAAATTGAGAGATTAGAACTCCCACATGACTTGGGATTGAAAACTCTTTTTTACTTAATAGTATATAGTATAGATTCAAATCTAGAAGATGGGCCACACTTCTTATCAAGAAATACTAATTGCAATATATTATTGAAAAGTGAGTCTAATTAAGAAGCCTATAGTTCAACGGAGATCATAAAAATGGTATGAAACAAGTCATGGTGGTCAAAGATTTTGGTTTGTACATTTGATCCAGCAAGCTTGATTTGTCTGTGATATGAATAAAAAATGATAGCCTGTCACAGTCATATGGGTAGTATGTCCATTATGCATCTCCAGCCTTCTTCCCTACCTTTGAAAATTCCCTCCAACCTTTGTCTATACATGGCACCATCCCATTTCTTCCCATCTCCCTCTTATTCCATGTCTCTCTAAAATCTCTCTCTCTCTCTCTCTCTCTCTCTCACCAAATGCCACCAGAATCCGATCCCCTTTGATCTCAATCAAATCAACCATGATTTCAAATTTGGAAACTCAAGATCTCCCACCCGAATCCTTCTTAGTACACAAGGAACACGAGCTTGATTGGTTCAACCGCAATGCCTTCCTCGAGCGAAAAGGTTCGACCAAGATCAGCTTCTCCGGCAGCAGCAACTTGAATTCCATTTCGAACCCACGTCGGAGTTTTCACAGTTCACCTTCTCATAGATTGTCTCTGAATTCAAAATCCAAATCATCAATCATTGGATTGCCAAAGTTGCAGAAGTCGGATCGGGACCTCCGCTGGACCTCCAAGCCGGAAAATGTTCGGATGTTCCGGAGCTATTCCGAACCGGGTGGAAAACCGGTCATGCAGGTGCCCGAACCGGGTTCACCGAGGGTGTCGTGCATGGGGAGGGTTCGGTCCAAGAAGGGGAGAGAGAAGAGAACCGGGCTGTGGGCGAGTTTGAGGGCAATTTTTGGAACCGGGCAAGGAGTGGCGATTGGTAAGTGAAGCGCCGAGTCAAGCTATGAACCGGAGTCTGGACCGGCCGGGTTGAGGTTTGGGCGGTTGGAATCTGGTAAGAGGTGGTAGTGGTGGGGCGGCTATGGGATGGATGGATGATGATCGTACACGTGGACAAATCAGGGTCGAGGAACCACAAAAAAAAATGTTAGTTAATTGGAGTGACAAAGGCCTACTTTTGTTGAATACTCCCCTAACTTTTGTTTGAGTTTCTGCTTTTGTTTTTAATTTCATAATTGATGAGATATGGAATACATTGTATTTATTGATCTTTTTAGAATTTAATTATTGAAATATCTGTTTAGAAATATATGTTTTGGGTTATCGGTGGAATATGTATATAAATAAATAATTTTCAAGATTGCCCTCATAATATATTTTAATTGTCTCTGAATTCAAAATCCAAATCATCAATCATTGGATTGCCAAAGTTGCAGAAGTCGGATCGGGACCTCCGCTGGACCTCCAAGCCGGAAAATGTTCGGATGTTCCGGAGCTATTCCGAACCGGGTGGAAAACCGGTCATGCAGGTGCCCGAACCGGGTTCACCGAGGGTGTCGTGCATGGGGAGGGTTCGGTCCAAGAAGGGGAGAGAGAAGAGAACCGGGCTGTGGGCGAGTTTGAGGGCAATTTTTGGAACCGGGCAAGGAGTGGTGATTGGTAAGTGAAGTGCCGAGTCAAGATATGTACCGGAGGCTGGACCGGCCGGGTTGAGGTTTGGGCGGTTGGAATCTGGTTAGAGGTGGTAGTGGTGGGGCGGCTATGGGATGGATGGATGATGATCGTACACGTGGACAAATCAGGGTCGAGGAACCACAAAAAAAAATGTTAGTTAATTGGAGTGACAAAGGCCTACTTTTGTTGAATACTCCCCTAACTTTTGTTTGAGTTTCTGCTTTTGTTTTTAATTATTTTTTGGTTTAAGTTGCAATCACTCTTAATCTTGCTTAAGACTTGTATTGGTAGAGTTTGAGAAGTTTCGACTTAGTAAAATAAAATAAAGAGATTTATGTATTTCCTTTGTTAGCATGGATGATGGTTTGGTTATCATAATTATTATTTTTTATGAAAAATATTGTTAACGTGTGATCTTATAACATATGTTAAGAAAGTTTTTAAATAAATATATACATACCAAAATCTTTTAATAAAAACCGCACCTTATATTTACACTTAAGGGACCATGTTTATTTCGCAAATAAAATGAGGTGAGATAAGTTACTTTGGAATGAGTTGTTCTAAAGACATCATTTAGTAATAAAAATTTTATTTTGAAATAAATTATCCCACTCTGTTTTAAATTTTTTTTTTTTTTTCTCTTAAAACTACTAAAATAAGATATCCCGAATAACAAATGTGACACAATGCATGGTAAATTTATTCAACAATCTTAACTCGCCCTTATCCTCAAATCAAACATGAGTTAAGCCCCGTTTGTTTCATTGGGTATAAAATAAATGATATAATATGATGTGGGATTTAGTCACAATATATAATGAATATGATATATATATTAGATAATATATCCCCCAATTTATGTTTGTTAACTTGATTATAAGACTGGATATATATTATCTATATTTGTTTTACAAAATATATTGTGAGATATAAATAAGTAATTTTCAAGATTGCCCTCATAATATATTTTAAATACTCATATTGCCCTTATGCCCATCAAATGGAGCATTGTTCAGTTTAGGAAAAAATAACACCACTTGCAAAACTAATGCAAATAAACAAATTAAAAATTCATATTATTTTTTATTTGAACAAATTAAAGATTCAGATTATATCCAATAATTTTCCCAAATAAAAAAAATATATTATATTATATTAATGTCAACCTGGTAATGATAAAAATAAAATAAATACCACAAAATCATTTTAAACAAGTATTTTGATTTTAAAAATAATCATCACTCATTTATCACCCCACATCCATCATTCTTACAAAAAAACCCAAGCAAATAAATTATTTGAAAAAAAAATTAATATTCATTCCCAAAAATTATATCTTACAAAAATAATCATCATTGAATGAAAAAAATAGCATCTTCATTCATTCATTCATCGCACATTATTATAATTATAAAATAATCCAAGCCATTATAATTAAAAATAACCATCATTCATTCTAAGCAAATTATAACATTTTTTTACAATAGACAAGTTAATATATTAAGCATCATGATTGTCACCATACATCATATTTTATATATGCATATCCACAAGCGAACTTACAATCCCAACAATTACAACAAAATAAGGCACAAAAGCCATTTGTGGGGGATGTATACCAGTTAGTATATGCAACCTCTCTTAATCCTCTGATTTCAAACAAAAAGTTCAAATAAAAACTAAAAAGATATTATTATTATTATTATTATTATTATTATTATTATTATTATTATTATTATTATTATTATCATTATTTTTGCTTGAATCAAAGCCCAAAAAAAACAAAGACATAATCAATATACCCACAAACAATAAAACAGAGATAACATACCCACTGTTTTGTCAAAGATTACAAAAAGGGCCAGATTGAACAAATAAAAAATCAGATTGAACAAACCCTTGTATAAATAAAAAAAGCGTATAGAAAGTTCAGATTGAACAAAAATCAGTGGAAGGGATTAAAAATCATACAAGGAAAACCCAAAACCAGAAAATCAAAAAAAAAAAAAAAAAGTAGAGGGAAACGATGATTATCACCGGAAAGAAGCTTTGCCAATGCAAATCGGCCAAAAAATCGAGTAGATCTACACTTACAAAACCAGAGCTCTTCTTCTCTGTTAGATGTATTGAATCGCATATGTTTTGTTGAACCCTAGTGTGTGTGTATATATGAAATAGACAAGGGGGTAAATTGGACTTTTTAAATCATATCCCAGCCCAAGGGATATGATATAATGGGGGGAGGGAAGTATTGTATATCCACCAATTCGGGGGGATATACAATCCCATAGTATATTATATCATCTCTAAAAAAAATTTGCAAACATGGAATATGTGGATGCGACAGTATATAATATCCACTCCTACCATTTATATCCTGGAATCAAACAGGGCCTAAGAGATAAAAAGTTCCATGCTGCTTCGACTATTTTCCTTTGATCATCAAGTGGACTACCATGTTGTTGCTAGATACTGAAAGCTAGTTTAGTACATTTTCATATACAACCTTGCTACATACACACCTTATTTGGGCGTTTGGGACTCGATAAGGAGTAATGTTAGATTTCATGAAAGAAATATCATGAAAAGTTTTATGAAGATTTTCTACATTTGGAATATACATTCAATAAAATACTATAACCTAATTAAATAGTGAAGAATCTTCACGAAAATTTTCAGGGCAATTCTTTCATGAAGAGTAGCATTACTCTTTGATAAGGGCATCTTCAATGGAGTTGCTAAAATGAGGGTTGCTAAATGACCCTACCGATTTACTTTGGACCTCCTATTTCTTTGAACCCCCACCTACATAATTGAAACCCTCTCATCTTTTCTTTCAACCCCACCTTAATACCAACTATACCACTATTCTTTGGACTAGCAACCACTATTGGCAGCCCTTCACCATTGGCAACCTTCGTTTCAACGACCACCGCCCTCTCCATTTCCAAACCCTAACCCCTCCAAATCCAACCTAAACTAACCACCATGAAAACCCACCTCACACTCTCCTCTTCAACCCTCCTCATTCTTCTCTTCTCTCTCTATACATTTATCACTGCCATTGAAGACGATGTAAAGTGCCTCGAAGGCTTCAAGATGCTGTCTTATCTTCTTCTTCTTCTTCTTCTTCTTCTTCTTCTTCTTCTTCTTCTTCTTCAGATCACGACTAACAACTGTAAACCTAGATCTCGATTCACTACCTACCCCATTACCTCCTCTTCTTTTTCTTCTCCCCATCACAACCCACCGCCACCATCACCGCCCACCACTGATTTTTGAAAACCCTAGATCTAGAGTTAGGGTTTCGGGAGAGATGAAAAAAGATGAACGCCCAGCAATTGATAGCTAGCAGAAAAAGATGAAGAAGACTGTCAGAGATGATGGGAATTGTTGGAACAATCTTTTGTGTAAATAAAATAAATTGAAACTAAATCAAACAAAATAAAATAAATAACTTGCAGAATTTATTTTATCAAACCGAATGGAAAAATAAAAGACCAAGTCGAGTGTGTAACACTCTGTCCTTAAGACAGATTTGCCCTGCTACGGTGCTTACGGTTATGTGGCGCCTATCTTTCAGGATACAATGATCTTCACAAATTTATAGTAGCACTTCAAACAAATTTGTCTGGCGAACTAGAACCTTGTGTTCTATACTCTCTTTAAATTTTTTCTCTAAAACTAGAATGAAGAATAATGCAAACAAATAAATTCAGGACAGCAAAAAAAATATTTCTGACTGATTTTTTTCGGATGTTAAGACTGCTGGGACAGATATGAATTTATAGGCAAAGAAATCTGTCCAACAGGTGCTGTGACGAACCGAACAGGTATGAACCTGCTTGAACACAAAATTCAAACAGATCTACAACCAGTTTGAACTGATTTAACTGCTGGACAGTTAAATTCGAAACTTCTGGGCAGTTTGTGGAAGTTAAATAACTAAAAAATAGTTTTAATATGTTGAGGATATTCGAACTGAATGAGATAAAATTAGACAGAAAATTAATTCAATTTTTGGCACAAAATTTGAATTTAATTTCATTTAAAATTCAAATAAATTTTGTCCAAAAAATTAATATTAGAACCGACCCACAACCCACACCCGCGCCCGACACGGCTTAGCCGGCCGGCTACGGCGGCGCCCGCCCGCGTGGTGGTTTGGGCTAAGGTTTACTTTGTCCATAATACTTTGTCCATAACTCCTCCCTTCTACAAACTTGGGGTGCCCCTTGGGGCCCAACCCAAGTGTTGTAGTCTAGAGCTTATATACATAAAAAAGCTCTCTTAAAGTTTCAATGTGGGAC